GGCTGGCAGCTGTCTCCCATCCTTCCTTAGATGAGAGATTTAGGGGCACCCTGGTAGTCGCTGCTGTTTCCAGTAGGCAGTAATCGCCTGGCAGTTTGTAGCCGGGGCTGGTCATCTCTGCTGCTCACGGTTCAGTCTCAGTGATGCTTCCTCCCTCAGCAGCCCCTTCACAAGCAGTCAAAGGCTTCACAGGCAATCTAGGGCAGGTCACGATGGACCTTTGCTGTCTGCTGTGGTTTCCTCTGTCTTTGCTGTGTAGGGACATGTGGAGCTTGACAGCAAAGAGAAAAGGAAGAAATGAAACTCCGGAGCCCTTTGCAAAGCTTTCCCTGCTGGGGAAGCAGCTCTGGAGATGCTGATGTCTGAGCTGCACTGTGGCACCTGCGTAACTTCAGAGAAACATCACAGCGAGCACTGACCACGCACTGCTCCTCTTCCTGCCCAGGCTTGGAACCTGTGTCAGCATGCAGCGATAGCCACAGGCAGCATCTGGATACCTGGACCCAGCAGTGAGCTCCTGGCTATGGACGGGGATGCTGCAGCAGGTGTGTTGTGGAGAGGGACATCCTTGAGGCCCGAGTCCAGAGGGGCTGCAGGAAGGAGCACTCTTCCCATCTGAAAAATGGCTGCAGTCACCTCCAGCCCCTGGCACCAGCAGAGAAAGGAAAGCGCAGGAGATGTGAGCAAGGCACGTGCACGGCAGCCCTGGAGAAGCCACTTCACTCTCTTCCTGCCTGCAGCACATCTCTGCTCACCTCATTACCTGGGAGAAGATGCGGTGGGTCATTGCGGTCAGACCGTTCCTCCTGGGGGTTGGCCCTTCTCCCAAAGTGAGGCTTGAAGAAGAGGTGGCTCCCAGGAAGCAGGAGCTCGCAGCACAGGACAAAGCTTTCTCCAGCCTCCTGGGACACTGGCTTCAGGGGCGGAAGGGCCACACTGTGCCTGGCTTCCACCACTCCACACTTCCACTTGTAAACCCCCAAGATATTTCTCTTCTCCTGTTCCCTGTTTCTATAGCTCTGTTGGACTCCTTGTTACAGAAGAAATAAAGCTTTTGGTTCCTTTTTTTTTTTTTTTTGTTTTATAAAAGAAAACTTGCGCTGTGTTATAAAGATGTCGGTGCTGTAGTCTCTGCTGCAGGCAGTGCCCCATGCGGCGTTGCTGGAGCTGACAGCTCCTTATCTGGTGACACTGTTTGTAGCCATCTTGTCCTGCCACCAAGCCTGCTGAGCCCTGCCAGCCGCTTGGTCCCCAACGCAGCCCCCCTGTCCCCAGGGTGCTGGGAGAACTCTTACAGGGTGGCATGTGCTGGTGTCACGAGGAGGAGCTGTCAGCTGTGCTGGGGCTTGTGTTGTGAAAAGACCCTGTCCTCTTCCAGGAGGAAGGGAGTGGCTTGCAGTGAGAGGTGGAGGCTTTGGTGGCTGTGAAGTGGAGCTGTCGGGAAACCTGCAGGCAGAACTGGTGTCGTCTGCCTTCCCAGCTGTGCCGCAGCAGCCGGCTGTGTGGGTGCATTGAAGGATTGACTTGGGTGTTCCTGCTTCAAGGGATCTTGAATGGAATCAGTTGAGCTGTTCCCGGTTATTTATTTGAATGACCGAGGGGTCTGTTTTCTGCTCGCAGCGGCTTTAGTCCACCCGACTCCTGGTGCTTGTTTCTGCTGCTCCTGCGGTGTTGTGTCACACTGCCCATCGGAGCGGCAAAACTCCCTAACCCACCTGTGCTTTCCTTCCCACAGTGTGCAAGTATGTGGCGGTAGAGCTGAAATCTGCTTTTGAGGAGACCAGCAAGACCAAGGAGGTGATTGACACCAAGTATGGCTTCCTGGACGGGAAGGGTTCTGCCGTCAAGTACACACAGTCTTAAGTGAGAGCGGGAGGGGTGGTCTCCTTCCAGTGTTGCTGCCTGTGGTCTGCAGAGCCGGGGGCTTTGGGAGCTTGCGGGCAGGCTGTGCTGCGCCCAGCTCCTCTGAGACAACTAAATGGTGCCAGGGCTGGTGGGATGGGCAGGGCAGTTGGGGGGGTGCTCCTTCTCTTTGTGGGAGCCGCAGAGCACTCTCCCATCGCACCGTCTGGGCCAAGGCTCACCCTGTGCCCTGGCTGTTCTTGGGGGGCTGTGCCGAGCCTGAGCCCTCCCTCCTCTCCATGCAGGGACATCCGGTTAATCGAGGTGACAGAGAACATCTGCAAACGGCTGTTGGATTACAACCTGCACAAGGAGAGGAGCGGCAGTAACAGATTTGCAAAGGTGAGGGCTGTCGTCCAGTCCCCGGCTCCCAAACATCCCTCGCCTGCCCCTGCACTGCTTGGGTGCCAAACCAGAGTTCGTTCTTCCCATCCCCTGGATCCCCTGCCAGCGCTGAGCATGCCAGTCCACACTGCACCCCGAGCAGTCCTTTGTGGGGGTGGGCAGGCCCCTACCCTCCCCTGGACAGAGGGTGACAGCCAGGGGCTGTCTTGCCCAGCCGGTATCTTCCTGTTGTTTGGGACCGGGTTTGCAGAGGGGGACTCAACGGCCACTTGAACTCCCTCCTGGTAACACTTGATGCCCCGGGAACCCTGATTTTGTGTGGCTTGCACGTACCTGCATCCCTAGACAGGGTCTGCGGCTGGCACTGGGAGGGGAGAGTGGGAGCCCGGTGGGAGAAGCCTCACTTCACCGGGCAGCAATGCTCCCCCAGGGCATGTCAGAGACGTTTGAGACCCTGCACAACCTGGTGCACAAGGGCGTCAAGGTGGTGATGGACATCCCCTATGAGCTGTGGAACGAGACCTCTGCTGAAGTGGCTGACCTCAAAAAGCAGGTATCTGGCCTGGTGGGATTGGCCCTCAGTGGCTGCTGTGGCCTTGTGGGCTGGAGCACAGAGGGAGAGAGGGTCTGGGGATGGGCTGCTGGGAATGGGGGTG